TGGGGAGGGCGATAGCGCGCGTCCTGACGCTGTATGCAGAGCCGCTGCTCTTCGTCCCCAGCATGTATCGTTAGAGAAGAGAAACGTTAATGAGATAATTTTTTTTTTTTTTGGCACTGGTGCGTATTTTTGTGAAAAAACGTACGTCAAAATGCGTAATATAGCATAACTGGTTTAACGCAACGATGCAAAACCACGTTGAAAAACTGCTGTCAGGTAGAGTTGAACTATAAGACTTTTTTCTTTTTAGTTACAGGGATAAAACCAAGATGGCATCAGGGACGGTAATAAACAGTGCTTCTTCAGGAGGATCAAATGATGTAAGCCTGGAGGAACCAAAGAAGATGACAAGGGAAGACTGGAGGAAAAAGAAGGAATTAGAAGAACAACGAAAACTAGGAAATGCACCTGCTGAAGTGGATGAAGAAGGAAAGTAAGTTTTATTAAAGCTAGGGTTATTCTAAAGCTGCTAGTTAAAAATGTCTTTTTTCCTGTTGTGATTACAGAATAATCATGAGGGTATGCCCTGGTTTCAACTGGGATAGGGTTAATTTTCTTCCTAATAGCTGTGTTTTGGATTTTGAGAATAATGTTGATAACGCCCTGGTGGTTTAGTTGTTGCTGAGCAGTGCTTAGACTGGTCAAGGACTTTTCAGCTTCCTCTGCTCTGCCAGGGGCACAGGAAGCTGGGAGGGGGTACAGCCAGGACAGCTGACCCCAACTGGCCCAAGGGCTGTTCCAGACCATATGACATCATGCTCAGTCTATAAACTGGGGGAAGAAGGAGGAGGGGGGGACGACGTTCAGAGTGATCGCATTTGTCTTCCCAAGTAACCGTTACATGTAATGGAGCCCAGCTTTCCTGGAAATGGCTGAACCCCTGCCTGCCGGTGGGAAGGAGTGAATTAATTCCTTGCTTTGCTTTGCTTGTGTGGGCAGTTTTTGCTTTACCTGTTGAACTCTCTTTATCTCAACCCACAAGTTTTCTCACTTTTACCCTTCTGATTCTCTTCCCCCATCCCCCCCAGGGGGGAGTGAGTGAGCGGGCTGTGTGGGGCTTAGTTGCTGGCCAGGGTTAAACCGTGACAGGGTGATAAATGATTTCTATGTGAGTCATTGCAGAAGTAAATAGTTGAACTATCTGAATTTGCTTTTAACATTCTAGTCATCCTCAGAAAATGGATATTTTCTGAAAAAATGTAGGTTCAATGTTTATTTACTGTGATCTACTGATGGTGCTGCTAAAAAGTCCCATCTATGTGGCTACTTACAAGCGTATTTTAAAAGTGATCAAAACGTAGTACTGGGGAAATTTGCTGTATATCTTATCTGTTCCCTCTCTCTTGCTTCTACAAGGCTTGTGTTTCTGAGAAGAGAAACACTACTGGTTTTATGCTCAGTAACATTGCATAGAATAAGGTATTTGATTTGGAGTCAGGATTTGAGGTGGATTAGATGGCAACAAAATCTCAATGAAAACTTGTGTTTATCTAGTTAAGTTAGAGCTTATTTTGCAATGCATTGTAACAATATTATTTTATTATCATTCCTAAAGCACTGAACTTTAATGGGAGAATTATTTGTTAGGCTAAGTTGTTGTGGGTTTTTTTTCCATATGCTGTGCATTTATTACACAACATCTTTTACAGGGATATCAATCCTCATATTCCTCAGTACATATCCTCAGTACCATGGTACATAGATCCCTCTAAAAGACCTACACTAAAGCATCAGAGACCTCAGCCAGAGAAGCAGAAACAGTATAGCTCCTCTGGAGACTGGTACAAGCGAGGAGTTCAAGAGGTATGCAAAATATTTTTGTCACAAAATAGAGATTTTGTTTGATTTCACGAGGAAATAAGAGAAGAGACATTGATTCCCTATAAAGATGTAACTCTGCTTGCATGTTTTTAGAGGGACCAGAGCTGGGAATACTTTCTCATCAGGCAAGTCACAGTGTTTTGTAATAATCAAAATACATGTTCTGTGTTTGGGTAGACCACACGCACTTCAGGTTTATTGAAAAAATGAATTAGTTGTTGGGAACATGTATATGAATCTTGTATAAGTTTGTACAATGCTCTCTTTTTTTGTTGTTTAGCATGCTATAGCAACTAGATACCGTAAAGGAGCTTGCGAGAACTGTGGTGCATTGACACACAAAAAGAAAGACTGCATGGAGGTAAACTTGACTTCTGTTTTAATGGTTTTGAAAACAATGTGAATTCTAATCTTAGTGAAAAATAGCTAGCTATAAATAAAAATTACTAGTTTTGAAAAAGGTTAAAAGTATTGAAAGGTGGATTGAAAATTTCTAAAGAAATTGTTCTGTAGAAAAAATGAAGGGAAAAATGTTACTATTCAGGGTTTTGCTCTTCAATTCTGTTTGTGATAAGCACTGCAATAAATGGTAAAAGAGTTTAGCTCTTCATGTTAATTTGTTTTAATTCAAGTGCTGCTGTGCCTGTCTGTCTGTTTCATGTCAGCTAGAAGCCATCCCCAGAAAATGTTTTAATTGCTTTCTTAATTGTGGAAAATAGTTAGAAATTGATGGGGTTTGGCGTGAGTTGCATGACTTTAAAATACAGAAATTAACTATTTGCATTTATTTACAATTCACAGGCTTGTAGTGCTTAATTTAACTGGCTTTAGAAGAGCCTGATCGATACTGTTTTTAAAGGGATATCTGAGCGAGTAACATATTTTAGTCTAATGGACTGATCTAGCCAATTTTTTTCATTTCAGAGACCCAGGAAAGTTGGAGCAAAATACACAGGCATGAATATTGCCCCAGATGAACATGTGCAGCCTCAACTGATGTTTGATTATGACGGAAAGCGAGATCGTTGGAATGGTTATAACCCAGAAGAGCACATGAAGATTGTAGAGGAATATTCCAAGGTTGATTTGGTATGTAGGTGCTATGCCTTACAGGGGAAAGTTTCAGTGTTTGGCTTGGCTGGGAGGAGGAATGTTTGTTATATGTTCTGTTAATGTTAGAACTTGTGCTGTATTCGCAATGAAAAAGCGAGGTGGATTCTGTGTTTGATAGCAAACTCTGCTTAAACTGAAAATTCAGATCAGAACTGGCAACCGAGTATGGGTCTGCACAATAAGTGAAGCATCTCTCCAGATTGCTTACTTTTTAATAGACAAGCCTCAGAATTTATTACCCAAGGTGCAGATTGAATTGCAGGCAAGAAAGGAATTTATTATTTGGCTGTATTAGAACCGATAAATCTATATCTATTTTGTAACCTCATTCATGTTATTTTCCTTACGAATGCTTTTTGTTACCATGATGGGGCAGTAGACGGTGCTTGTCTCTGTGCAAATCAGCACCTTGCTGTTGCACTTAACTTTCTGTCTTTATGCACCAAAGCCATAAACTTTTCAGAAGAAAAAAAATAATTGTTCACTACCTTGGCTGGAAGTTAGGCCAGTTCCAGAAGATAGGTAGGTGCCTAACTAACTGCCTTCAGTGCCTGGTGCTCAGTATTTTCCTACAGTGCATAGGAAAGCTAATGGTTTAATTAATTTAATTTTAACATTTAATGCTAAATCTGATCTGATCAGTGTGTCTAATGGGAGAGTTTAAAGGCAGAGACAGCTCTTCTCAGTAGTATCTCGTGACA